TGAAACTCATCAGCCCACAGGCACCAGCATCACCCTGCCCCTGGCTGCTTCCTTCCCCCCTCGCTGTCCTTGTCCCACTGCTCACTGACCAGTGTTCCTACTGGAGTCTCTGAGGCTTCCTTCCCGGGGCCCCTGCCATTCTGATCTGGCTCTGGGTCGAGCTGTTTCCCAGTCCCTCTCTGGCCTCCGTCTTCCAATGCCCTCCCTTGCTCCTCTGACCACTGCCCTTTTGAACAGGCCTGCTGTTGGACGTGCCGGTCCGACACTCCGCTGTGATGACATCCTGGCATTCCGCCACATCATCTTCCCCCCTGGCTCGGCTCGCCTCTTCCCGTAACCGATGAATGTGGGTCGCTGGACCTTTGTTGGCGGTGCGGGTGTTCCTCCTCTGTGCAGCTTTTCCCCCTCTCTGGAAAAGTGGTGGAGCCTTTGCAGGACCAAGTGCGGGTCCCTGCGGACCCGTCACAATCAAATTTCATTTTAAACAAAGTAAAATATTATGTCCAACACAAAAGGTTTCAGTGTTTTCTGGATTTATGGCAAGGGTGGAGAATCCCTTCTGGATTGGGGGTCACTGACCCACAGAAAAATCAATTGGGGACCACACAATGAGAAGCAAAAAAACTCCAATACCCCCCCAACATTCACTGATAATGGCCCCAACTGAGACACCTCACTCCTCTGGTGCTCCAGCCTGGTGGACGGGGGGACTGAGGTTCAGGGCTTCCCATAGATCAAATTTGCTTTTCTAGGGTTCTGGAGTTAGTGGATTTTATGGACTTCCTTAGACTCTGGGGTAGAAACAAAATTGGGGGGTACAGTTTGCGAGACAGGGCTGCCAGTAAGTAGGATAGAGATGGGGTGCAGTATCTGGGAGGGATGTGGGGTGCAGAAGTGAGAGAAGTTGCCAGGTCTGGGTGCAGGGTAGAGTGCAGAAGCAGGCTGGGAGGAGGATGTCTGGCCAGGTGGAGGGAGCAGGAGCAAGGAAGGGTGTTGGTGCAAGTTGGGTGTGCCAGGGCTTGGGGGGAGGGAAGTGAGGGGATTGGAGTGGGGAGGGTCTGGGCATGAGAGGGGACCGTACCTGGCTTTGTGGCCCCTTGCAATAATGGCCGCAGCTATGCTGTCCCGGCTGCCCCAGAGGGAGGCCGTGCTGCTGGGGCCCACGTAGTCTGGGCCCAGCCCTAAAGGCCTGCTGCTGCTGTCGACACGGTCCAGGGCTTCCCCAGATGCCCCACTGCCACTGTGGTCTGCAGCCGGCTCCGAGGCTCACGCTGCTGTGGCCCATGTGGTCCAGGGCTGGCCCCAGAGGTCAGAAGTGCCACAGCCATGTGGCCCCGTGTCAGCCCTAGACTGCATGGCCATGGCAATGCTACCACCGGGACCGGCCCTGGACTGCATGGCCATGGCAGTGGTGCCTACAGCCTCCAGGGCCGGCCCTGGACCACGTGGCCATGTCAGTGGTGCCTCCAGGACAGGCCAAGATGCCGCTAAGGCACCTCAGCCCCAGCGCTGCCTCCTCCCACTGCAGCCTAACCTGCTTCAGGGAGGAGAGAGCGCTCTCCAGTGGCTGCACAGGGGAAGAGGGGTAGGGCTGATCTCCCTTCCGCGTGCCACTGAAAATCGGCTCGTGTGCCATAAGTGGCGTGCGTTCCTTAGGTTGTCGACTAGAACCATGAATTCATTTTTATGAGATTGTGGGTGTAGGCGTAGTACATTTATGATAAGATTTAATTGTAACTGTTATTTTTAAGTGAGACAATTAATGTTTTATTGATTAAAAAAACATCCAATTTGAATTTAAAAAATCTGATTTTTAAAAAAAAATTAAAAATCATTGGTTTTAACCACCCTGATCTCAGGGGACATCTGTTGACATTGTTACTGTGGTTGTGGCAGGGAAAATGGAATTTTGAGAAGATAAATGAAGATTCAAACTATTCTGTATAAATATTTAATCTGAGAGCCTTCTTTGTTCATTATACAGAAAAAGGTGCCAGAATGTGACAGGCTGAAATGCATTAAAATGTTTGAGGAAATAATAGTTAAAGCACATCTGAGGAATCCGATGCAGGATTAGAGCTTTAAGGGAGAGGGCAGAGGCTATTCTAAACCATGAGGGTATCTCTACACTGTAATGAAAAACCTGCAGCACTGAGTCTGAGAACCTGTGTCAGGCTGCAAGTCTAAAAATAACTGTGTAGACATTGAGGCTCGACTGGACCTCAGACTCCCTACTCAGAGTCTGGGATCCAACCTGAATTTGGACAACAACACCGCAATTTTTTATTCCCGTACTCCAAGCCACAGGCACCAGAATCCATTGACGTGAGCCAGTTATGGCTGTGCCCCAATTCTTTTATTTCAATGTAGACATATCCTCAAATACTACAGCAGTGAGAGCCTATTCAGAACAGAACGAATAAAAATGTTTGAGAAAAAAGATCAATTTCATTTTGGAGAGTGAGCACATAGAAGTTTCTCCTTTCATCCCCAAAAGCATCACCACTAAAAAAAACCTTCTCCCTTTTATATTTAAATGTGTTCCAAGGAAGAGGTTGGTTTTTTTCTAAACAAGTTGGTCAAATCCTTCAGAGGTGTAAATTGTCATAGCTCCAGTGGAAGATAGTGGAGCAGTACTGATTTGCAGCAGCTGAGGATTTAGTGACACAAAAACGTATGGCAGAATGGGTACAATACAATTTCAAATTAGTAATAGATAAATTAATACTTTTGTGTGTTTCAGAATGAGCTTCTTGGTTGATGATGGCATAAAACGAGATGAAGTCCAAATTTTTGAAGATGTTTGACCAAATATGTGTATCTTTACCTCAATCATTATTTTGTTGTACATGTTGTACATTTCTAAAACTGACAATTTGTCAAATGTTCATACATTGAAATACATTGACTTCATTGTGATGTTGACTTCATTCTGGGGCAGTGGCTCAAATGTTAATGGGAAAGCAGCTCAAGAAAACTGGCACCTAAAATGCAATGGACTGGTATGAGACATTCTAAATCCTAGATTCAGTGGGGTGAGAACCTACAGTTGTTATATGTCAGATGATGGTACTAAAAATGTACTGTTGTTTTTACCCTAGATTTTGGTCTCCTCCAGCTACTTACAGAAGCTGCTTGCGAGGTCAGTCCTACAGAATTCTCCTGAAGCATTGGTGACCAGTTCCTTAGAAGCAGCTTCTCTTCCTGTTGGCTTGAACAGCATCGGCAAAGGAAGAGGCTCAGATACCTCACAAAGGGAAACTCAAGAAACTCAAATAAACAGAGGCCTGGACTCCATCATTAGTACTGCAGTCCCACGTATCATTGTTATTCCTACTTCTGAGGCCAAACTGTTTGAAGAAGGACAGGAAGACTGTGAACAGGGAGAGGAGGAAGAGACTGATTTATTCCACTGTCATGGCAAGAATAATTTGTTGGACATAGAAGGGCTTAGCTCTTCCACAGATTTCCTGGAAGCATTTGAGAAGTTTTTGTCATAAGTATAAAAAAAGAAAACTTTCTGGTCATTGGGTGTTTTTTTTTCTTCTCTACATTATTATACCAAATAACTAAAGCTTTTTAGATTAAATCATCAGATTTTTTGTATATTTATATTACAGTCATTAGGCAGCCTTTGAATCCATCTTTATTCCGGCTTCCTCAGACAATGAAACGGCCTTTTGGATGGTGCTGCCAAAATGAGCAATGGAATAGTTGGCAGCAAACTAGAATGGCGTATTTCAAGTCAGCCTGCTGCTTCATTGTTTTTTACATAGCTGAGTGGATGCCAGCAAAGAAATATCTAGTACCAACTGAAGACTACTTCTACCTGGGTATCCAGGATCAAGTTTCATGATTCAATGCCATTCCAAGTACTACAGGTTGAACCTCCCTGGTCTGGCACCCTTGGGACCTGACTGATCCCAAATCAGGGAATTTGTTGGACCAGGGGAGGTCAATGACAGCCCCTCTGCCCAGAGTCAGCTGTGGGGCTCTCCTCTGGTGGCACCAGAGGGGCCAGCACTGATGGACAGTGATGGGGGAAGAGGCAGGGTGGCTGTGAAGCCTGTGGCTGGGTCTGGGAGATCAGTTACACTGCTGCCAGACTACTCCTGGCCCCTGACTGTGGTGCACCATGGCCACCCTGCCTCTTCCTCCAAGAATCCTCCATCCCTACTCCTCCTCCTCGCTCCCTGAGCTTGAATGCCACAAATGAGCTATTTGTGGTACTCTGGAAGCTCTGTCAGGATGGGGGAGGAGTTGCTGAGCATGGGGCTCCCATCTTTTCCCCATGAGTGTTCCAGTCCTTGAGGACCCACAGATGTTGGACTGTGGATGTTGCTGCACACAGGAAGTCCAGATTATAGAGGTCCAACCTGTGTTTGTAGTTCCTGGACGGCCATCACAAGATAAGCTATGTAGCAACTGCATGCACCAACATTTCTTCTAGACAGTATTGAATTCAGAAGTAGTACTGCCCAGAATTATGGCAGATAATATAGCAGCACCCACTGAGTTCACTAGTAATATACACACCCTGTACCAGTCTCTCTTGCAAGTCTCTATACAACCTCACAATCAGAAGCACTTAAATCTTTGTCAAGTCTTTTTTTTCCTAGTAGAAAGTTTTCTATACAGTACTAGCTTGAGGAATGGACCATTCAATACGAAAACAATTTGTTTAGAAGATTACTTTGTAAGGGTATGAAAGAGAGTTCTGAATTTCAGCTGAGCTCTAGGACTGTCACCATGCCCATTCTACAGATTACTGATAGGATTAGAAGTGTTATACTCCTCACCTCCAAAACAAGCATGTTGGATGCAGACTATTATTTAAGCATTGGTGGACTGTGGTGAATCCTCTGTTGAAAGGGTGGATTCTCACAACTAGCTCAAAGACTCATTGATGAAAATAAAACACCAACTGCTTATTGTTGGAATTCATAAAGGTGCAGATATGAAGACCTTTTTTCCTCTCATCTTTGAGTCAGAGAGAGTGGGGAAACATAAACTTTAATGTGAGGGGTCAATCTTCCAAAGTTCCCTCAGATGGACTTCCTACCCCAACCTGAAGATCTCTGTGTAGCTCGAGTGCTTGTCTCTCTCAGCAACAGAAGTTGATCCAATAAAAGATATTACCTCACTCATCTATCTTGTCTTCTTATTCCAACTGTCATTTCCCACGGCCCCAATGGGGGTAGTAGCACAGGGCTATGCCACTGTGAATGTGGGATTTACTGCAAGATGCAAGATCACAAATTTACTTGTGAATAATGGTTTTGTTTCTTTCATCTTTCATTCCTATTAGTTCCTCATGTTCAAAATACTTTCCTAGCTTAGCATTTTGTTCCTTGTGGCTTTGCTCTTTCCATATTTTCTTTGTGTTTATACATATCCTCCAACTCCTTCTCATTAGCTATGACTCTCCCGCAGGTGGGACACACAATGGAGTAAATTCTGCTCTCTGTTATGCGGGTTTAACTCCACTGAAGAAAATAGTTACTGGTGTAACGGAACATAATTTGTTTAACAGATTTGATGTCAAGCAAGCAAGCAGCTGGCCTGAATTTTTTTCAAAGTCTTCATAAAAATGTCCTGTTTTATTCCAGGGACTGTGTTGTACATCAAACTGAGAGCATTTCCTTGTTCTGGGCACACACTAAAAGCTTTTAAGAGCTATTTCTCGCTTTTTGTTTTCTCCTGCTGAGGAACCCTGGAGTTTTGTGAGGTGGGTGGGTTTTAAATAAAAAACAAGTCAACTCTAGTTTGCAACTGTGTTAACAATAAGTATAAACTTTAGTATAAACCATAACTGAAAACATCAGGATGCAGGCTGGAATGCATTCACAATGGGATCACATAGAGTGATGTCAGTATGTCCGTAAGAAACCTTGAGAGATTAGGTAGGATAGTTGAGGGAATTAGAAAGGTCTCTCTAGTGCCTTTGGTGCATGTGGCACTACCACTGGACACACATGACTTAAAATAACATGCTCTAAAATGTTATAAAATGCTATACGTAACTCTCAAGATATCTTATTAACTATTGCTTGTATTACATTTGTGTCCAGAAGCCCCAATCAAGATGCCCCAGTTAAGATTAGGGTGGTAGGAGCAGTATAAGCACACATTAAAGACAGTCCTTGCCCTGCATAGATTACAGTCTAAACAAATGTAGAATATGTTTTAACAAGTTACAAGTTGTTATTGGAAAAGAACCTCCTGAGGATGCTTTAAAATAACACTACAATAATTAATTCTGAAGTTCATGGTAATTTGTTAAGAAGTACATTTGAAGTGCCCATGACTATGATTCTTTCTCTACTTTCATTCACCTGGAGCCAGCACTTTCTAAAAGTGATTCTAGAGTCTCCCTTGAACCAGAAAAGTGCTTAGGGACAAACACTGATGTGGATGCTGTCTGTCTCTGGAGGTGATCCATTGTCCTACAGTAACTTTCCCTGCAATTCCTTCCCTGAGAAGACTTTATTGCTTCCATTAGAGATGCAGTTCAGACACACATCAGATTCCGCTGATGTGTCTACACTTGCTACAGAAGATTTTCTGATTCACCAAGAAACAAAAGACTTCCAGTCAGCTTAGCAAAAAACTATGATGTTATCTTGGAGCTAATACTAGGTCAAGTAAGGAATCTGTCAGAAGATTTTCTGATTCACCAAGAAACCAAAGATTTCCAGTCAGCTTAGCAGAAAACTATGAAGTTATCTTGGAGCTAATACTGGGTCAAGTAAGGAATCTGGTAGTTTGCTAAAGGGAGGGAGGAAAGGACAAGGCCAAAAAGGTCCAACCATTTAAGGTTTGGGGACACCAATCTGTGATATGAATGCTTTTCATCTCTTTTTAGCCCTCCATCATGATTGACTTGTCACCTATCTAGCCAATTGTCAGCAAATTTGTTCTCCCCCCACACCCACGCTACACATACCAGTTCATTTTTTTCCCTGTTGGCACATTAGAGCCAAATTCTGCCCTCAGTTACACATGTGCAATTCCTAGTGATAACATTTGGTGTCAGGCAGGACCTAGACAAGACTAACCAATGCAGTTTTACTGCACAAGCAGACGGGCTGCTCAAGCTTGTGTACAGAGTCCACATTCTGTGCATACCCAGGAGCAGAGTTCTATGTCAGGGAGTTCTAGGAGGGGAAATAGGGGAAAGAAGAGGAGTTAGGACTTATGGACCCACAATTCTACAGATCCAGCAGGCCATTACTCCTTCCAGAAACCAGGGCAATCAGTAGAGTTGTAACATAATCTCTGGGGTTGGGAAGAAGCATTCCTTCTCTGTGAGCTCCTGTGCACCTAGTACTCAGGTGAAAGATCTGGGGGTTAGGGACATAAATTTGTAATATTAAATTCAGTGTGTGTGAAAGTGGGGGCCAGTTGTCATCCTGTCCTGGTTTTGCCCTTGTATCTTCTGTAGGTTGTTTGCTGAAACTATTTGACCCTGGCTTTTATCTTTCTTAGCATCATCTATATGCAAACAATGCCTTTTTTCCTTCAGTATTTAATACCCTCATTATTTCCATCCCCCTTCTCCATTCAATGGGTTTTGGAAGTATCCTCGACCACCCTCACATTCCTCTTTGGCTTTTACATGCCTTATTGACTTGATTGCTGACCATAGCAATAAGCAAATCATTCAGTGTTACAATGAGTGGGATCAGATTCTGCTCTCAGGATTCAATGGTGTTGTGCCAGATTTGAACTGGTGTGACCCAGAGCAGATTGTAGCCCATTTTTTTCATCAACCTAAAAAAGTTGGGATGTAAAGCAATAATAAAATGAGTCTTAAACAGTCACACATTGTATTACCTTCTGCTGTTAGCTTGCAAAATGATTTCACAATACTTCCTTGCATATACTGCATTAATGGTAATGACTCAGCAAGCACAGAGTCATATTCTTAGAAGCTTACAGCATTTTGCAGTGTTATGATTTTTAAAGTGGATTTTAAGATATTGCCAATCCCTGTATAATACAAATGTGAATATTTGTAACAAGTATCTTTTGTTCTGAGAGATTGCTTTTTCCATTTCTTGGAGAGGACCCTGTCCTATAACTACTGAAATCAATGTCAAGATTACTACTGACTTTAGTGGAACCTGAATAGAGCTCAAGATGAGTTAATATTAATGGAGTCATAACACATAGTTATAAAATTAATATGAAGTATCAGCTCTTTTGACATGACTGTGATATTTCAGGAGTATCAGTAGCTATGTCTTAGGTTGCTTAAAATAATTCAGATGACGACTTTTGTACAGTGTACCACTGTCTGCGCTTTTGTGTACCACTCTTGTTTGCACTTTTGGGGTAAGAGCAGTATGCAAATGTATAGCATTGACTCAGGCTACAATTTTTGCCAAAGATATGTGTTAAGTCATGCATGGATTAAGGAAGGAAGTCTTAACTATGTTTCATTTGTTTTTGTTTATTTTAAGGAGTGGATGGACAAAGAACACATTAAAGTAAAAGGGTGAAACTTGGGCTCTTATCCCACACACACAGGCACACTTGTCTTTACTCATGTGAGGAGTCCCTTTGAAGTACATGGGATCCCTCACAGGCACTCATTAGGTACATGCTGAAATTTCTGAGAGATTAAGGGCTTAGCATACATAGAAAATTAGAGGGATGCAAAATGGCCTCTGTGTTTTAAAAAAAAAAAATTAAAATTAATGGAGATTGCCTGTCTCCTAGAACTGGAAGGGACCTAAAAGGTCATTGAGTCCAGTCCCCTGCCTTCACAGCAGGACCAAGTATCATCCCTGACAAACTTTTGCCCCAAATCCCTAAATGGCCTCCACAAGGATTGAACTCATAACCTTGGGTTTAGCAGGCCAATGCTCAAACCCCTGAGCAACCCCTCCCCCTGGAGTTTTGCTGAATCAGATCCCTTATGCCTCCAGCAAAGAGGTTTACAGGATCTGTCAAAAAAGGCTTTTTTTCCTCAATGGATCCCCCTCTAGACTGCCGCTTTTTGCTGACAAAGTGCTAAGTCGAAAAAATGCAGTGGCCATTTTTATGCAAATTAGGCACAGGATATTTAAATCCCTTTCTCATTTGCAATGTCACCCTGCCTAATCTGCATCCCTCTGCCAACAGAGGGATGCAGTCTAGACATACCCTTAGATATTTCAACAGTAGCCAGCTGATTTTCAGTGGTGCTGAGCACCCAGCATTCCCATTGATTTCTATGAAAACTGATTTCTCAGCATGTCTGAAAATCAGACCACTTCTGTGGAGATGTCCAACAACAGACACCCAAGTTTGAGGTATCTGACCAAAACCAATTAATAGCTTTGGCACAACACTTTGATCTGAGTTTTGAACCTTAGTAAGTCTCAGAGGGGTAGCTATGTTAGTCTGTATCTGAAAAACAATGAGGAGTCCTGTGGCAGTTTAAAGACTAACAGAATTATTTGGGCATAATCTTTCGTGGGTAAAACTTACTTAATCAGATGCACTTGATCATGATCTTCATGCATCTAAGTTCTTTTTACCCACCAAATCTAAGGTTCAGATAGATCCGTTAGTCTTTAAGGTGCCACTGGACTTGCGTTTGCTAAATCTTAGTTGTAATTAATTAGCAATTATTTGATTCTGTGACTTCTCTGTTTAAAACAAATGTACCATGCATGCACTTTTGCCAATGGATCTATATGTAACAAAGTTTAGATGGCAGGTCTGTTAAAAAATTCCTTTCTCCATGAATCAATGGGCCATGGAAGGTAGATTTCAACCTGTTCTAGTTTAGAACATGATAAAATAAAGGTTTGGGATAAGAAAGAAGTACTAACTTACATTCTTTGATGATATACTTTTTCTCCCTGGTTCAAATGGGGCAATTGGCAGGGATTTTATCACTGGTTCCCCATCCTGGAAGGACCTAGAAAATCTGAAGTGTGTGTTCTAGAACTTATGCTCCTCATTTAAAGCAATGCCAACAATAAAAAGCTTCACAGACAATTACCATCTTTACACACTGCTGTTACAAATGACACGTGACTGCAAGTGAAAAATAAACAGTTTTTTTCCTCTATTGGATTATGCATTTGCAAGCTCTTTTTGTACAACTAGTTCCTTCTGTATAAATAATCAGTTCTTATGTTTGTGGTATGCTTACACACAGAGGAGATGAGAAGAGAAAACCTTTTAAAAAATAAGAAAACTGATTGTAACACCCTAAAATCTGGCAGGAGTATATAGGTGTAAAATACAAAATTATTTTAAACTGGGAGGGATGGGGGTGGTAGGTGTCAATTAACCATGCTACAAGTTGATACTGTCCCTTGAATACTGCAGATGCATGTGCCAGTTAAACTACAAGGTGTAATTTATCAGGTGGCCTGGGCATTGCTGAGAGGGTCAAACCAGGGTAAATTGCTCAGAACCAGGGCTACTTACTGTCAAAGACTGGAGTCCTGCCCCATAAGGCACCAAACAAGTCACACACTTCAGCTGCCACCAAGAAGCCTACAAGTAGCCAACAAGAAGCCTCACAAGCAAATCCCCTTAGACACCCCAGTGTTCCCCGTGCCACAACCAGAACCACAACTTACACGGGTGAGAGGTTATAAAAACCAATCTCACCAACTCCGAACAGGTTCTCCCAGTCCCAAAGAACCAGACACAGTCCCAGGTCAATTTATACCTCAGATCTTACCTAAAAGAGCTTGCTGGGCCAATCCTTTAGCATCTAAAATCTAAGGCTGTGTCTAGACTGGCAAGTTTTTCCGCAAAATCATCTGCTTTTGCAGAAAAACTTGCTAGCTGTCTACACTGGCCACTTGACTTTCCGCAAAAGCACTGATGATCTCATGTAAGATTGTCAGTGCTTTTGCAGAAATACTATGCAGCTCCCGTTCGGGCAAAAGTCTTTTTCTGAAAGACTTTTGCGCAAAAGGGCCAGTGTAGACAGCAGAGATTTGTTTTCCCGCAAAATCATCTGCTTTTGCAGAAAAACTTGCTAGCTGTCTACACTGGCCACTTGACTTTCCGCAAAAGCACTGATGATCTCATGTAAGATTGTCAGTGCTTTTGCAGAAATACTATGCAGCTCCCGTTCGGGCAAAAGTCTTTTTCTGAAAGACTTTTGCGCAAAAGGGCCAGTGTAGACAGCAGAGATTTGTTTTCCGCAAAAAAGCCCCGATCGCGAAAATGGCAATCGAGGGTTTTTTGCAG